CAAGCAGAATTCAAACCAGTAGATATGACAAGAAATGCAAACTGCACTGACTCACAAAACAATGCGTTCAAAAGCACCGCCGAGTGCATATGTAATAAATATGATTTGCATCCATGCACCAGATCCTACTGTGCCACGGGAGATGCAAACTGAAAAACATGGCTGCGTGATATGAATGCGCATTATGTGCATTCAGTTTTTTTTAAAGTGAAAGCACTAGTTAGGTTCCATAATTCTTCAGGGATTCTTCCACTATGTTGTGCATTTTCTGCACAATCCTTGACGAGACTTCCAAGTAACGAAGGTAACAACTTACATTTGAAATTCCAGAACCGTAGAACTGAATTTCTGTTACGATCCCAACGTCAGAATGACGGCCATGATACAGACAGCCTATAATCTAACTGGGGATTCAAACCTCAAGTTCATAATTTTTACTTCGAAAGAGACGAAGGAAGAGGAACGCATGCAGAAACGAGCACACTGACTGGCTGTACTCAAACCAGAAACCTTCTGCACCGAAGGCAGACCAACACGTATACAATCTTACAATTCATTGATGCCGTAATATCAACTGTTGCCTGCACGACATGTAATATATGCAGGGCCAAAAGCATGAATTTTAAATTGCAATGCACTGTAAAGCCCAAGTACATTCAAGTTGCTTTGCAGTCTGCGTGTTGTTTAGAAGTCAATCTTCCACGTTTGTAAGCTCAGGCTTGCATATAATTCAAAGCACCTGACCCACACGCTGATCAAAACAGCGGAAAATTACAGACTAATGTTGATGATTGTACCGACGCCAGATAATTCATCATGAAAATGTCTCATTATACATGCACTTGGTAGCAAAGACTAAACTAAGCCGCCATTCGTGTACGTACGACCAAATAGGCCTACGGCACAAGTAATGTTCACGCACTCTGGCGTCTTCATGTAGGTCGTTGGTTGATTACAAGTAAAAATTTACGTTCAGGTCTGGATGGACAGCATGTCCTTACCACAGCAAGCTGAAACCGAAATCATCACGACTAGAGACAACCACATATTGTTACAAAGACGGTGATGTCTTCGGAAGATGAGAAAGTCCAAATAAAACGTGACACCATGGCTGAACAGTTACTATTGTAGGCAACACGCTAAAGGTCAAAATACCCAAACGGGTGAAACCATCTTGTTTCTATTCAGACTGGGTACCCCATACAAGGAAACCAAACAGTTGCGGACACTCCCTTTAAAAACACGAGCAAAAACATTAATCTGTATAAACGCAGGTCTACTGGCGACAAAGAACGACCTAACCATAGTATTCCACACCATCGTCGAAGTGAAACGAGCACATAAGGACGAGACTTCAATAAATATTCAGTTAAAAACCCGTACCATGAAGGCACGTGGTGGCAAATCAGAAATATGGTTACTCCTGCAGCAGCCACCATATTTCAATTCACACATAAATGCTTAAACCTAATTAAAAATCAAAGCTAAAGTAGTGAATCAAACAGGTGGTAGGACCATCCAAATTATAACCACTCACAAAAACAGAATATTCTTCTAAAACATACGAACAAATCGTGGATTAATAACCATTGAAACGGGAGTTACGCGAGAAATTATACATTACAGTACGTCTTTTTATGTGCATGTCCTCTGTCAAACCTCGGAGATTTCGAGTAGACTGGAAAGCGAATATTGCACGAGAAAGATGCAACCCACCACTTACTGCCTCAAAGTTCTTAAGTGAGATCAGACGTTATACAGAATTATCTACAACACCAACGCGAAGTCTGACGAGATGATTATATGACTGTTGAGAGCGAAGCCTAGTTCGGAAACGTTTTTACATACCAAGGCAACTGTTATTACTTATGTGCCGCTCACAAGAAACTCTGAAAGCATCTACACGTCACTTCAAAACCATCCAGAAAATTAGAAAAACAATACGAATCACAAAAGAGTACAAAATGCAATCAAACTCAATTCCTTTTCACTATCTAGAATAAAAAATAAAAACTTGTATAGTAGGTTTTGTTTAATCATTCTTATCAGCGGCGGAGTGATCATGCTAACCGTGTTTGCCCAGCTAACACTTTCAAAAACGAGAAATACAAATTCTATCTTACTTACGAGGCTCTAGTACAAAACGTTAAATATATTTAAACGTATCAGCGTACAAAAGTTCAGGACCCTACAGTGAAAGGTAAATGATATTCCCATCATACAAACTGGATGGGCGCCATGTTAGTATTAAGTCAAAACGTGTAAGGGCAGGGTTTTGTTCATTCCAAGTTTCATAAAAATGTGTCAATACGTGTCTTTAAAATAAAGTCTGTGAATGACTTAAAAGACAGTCGGATAAGAGTTTCGGTAACAATATTCCCATGAATGGTTAACGTTGTGTTGGATTCCTAGCCGAAGCACATAATCATTCAGCCGCCAACACACATTCCACATTCAACTACAGCCACGTAATCACGAACAGCTCGATTGCTTCGTTACAAACGTGGACATGTTTAAAGCACAACATGATTTGTATTTCTCTAGCAATACCTCTACGAATTAGGGGTTTTCGTAATTGTTTCACGGTCTGCAAATCCTCTGTCCAGCATCTGTCGATCAATCTCAGGATTATGCACGCCAGTCACATTGCTTATACAAATTCAAAGCCGACATGACGTTCCGAACACTCCTTTACACATTAAGCAGAGTTAACGTGTATGATCCCTAGAGAAGAGTGGGACGACCGCTCAGGGCGCCAAGCGTTCGGGGTCCCCGGACTTCGACATCACAAATTACGCATTACATATTGTGCACCGTTATGGCGTTTAGGGTAGCAAGTCATGTAGCAAGTCATGAGCTAATCCATGCTGAACTGAAATTTATACTATTTCCAACTACTCTTGCTGTGAGGAAACTGTAAAAGTATACAGAACGTTTAAGAAAATAGCCTTCTTCATACTTGCCGCCATGAAAGCCTGAAATCTCACCGAGTCACACATCTTTCGGCTACCAATTTCAAAGCCAAATTTAAACTATACTAAAACACACGATTTGGACCTATAATCCACCAACGTTAAGGACTAATAGGTCCACTCTTAATCTAAAATCCCATTTGACAACTCGCCGATAAAAATTCCGAGACGAAATAACCTTACTTAGTGAAACAAAGTGTACATTTCAATCGCATTAACGCCTTTCGTCTGGTTCTATGTTATACATCACTTTCTTTAAAAGATGTGTCAGAGTGTCGCCTTGGCGGTCAAAAAACACGGCGGTGGCACCCTAGACTGCAGTGGGTCGACTACAGCCCTGCCAAAATTAAAACTTCCCCGAGCTTTATTAAGTTTGCTGCTGTTATAAGAGCCGGGGGTTCTGCTACAGAAATATGAACTCAGAACATAAGGGCAAGCAGACAATTTTGTTTTCTTCAAATCACAATCTCAAGGACAATCGTCAACAACATAGATACCAAAAACATGTTACTAAATACAGAGCTAACTTTGTTTAAATTACAACGAAATTAAAGTAAAGTTAACAACTAAAACTGCAAGACTAACAACTGTCGACGTTGGTCTTCTGGTTAGTAGCACAGCGTGAACTTGTAGGAAGACATCAACATGTGAGGAACATACTGCCTCCATTTTCAAGGTTGAATCTACCCAAGAACTTCCCCGGCGAGAAACAAAAACACTCGCCAGCTTGAAAAAAGTAATGGATAACAAAATGAAAAGTAAAATTAATTTTGATTAATATCAAGCCTACCTCTGGTTTGACGATTGAGGAAAACACTCCTCCAGGCAGACCAGCTTCAAGTAATAAGGCACAGCAGCGCTGTCGTGTTAACCACAACAAATGAACAATTTTAATCACAAAATAATACTAATTAATAAAACAATTCACTCACTCCACATTGCTACACGGTCATCGACATGCAAGATCGCAGAAAACACAATGAACATGTTACAACCTAAAATTGTAGCCAGAAACGTTAATTATTACAAAGACTTTCGTCCTAATTATGTAATTTTTTTTAACTTAAGAACGGTATTTACGAAGAGACATCAAAAGTAAGACTACACATCCAACAGAAACTTCAACTCAGATATCTGTCTCATGTTCAAAAGCGACACGTCACGTGACCATTAGTTTATCTCGAGCTGACTACAATTATACATTTCTCCAAGTGGTCACTAGGAGATAAACCATTCACCGACCAAAAAGAATGAATAAAACAACTGATAGTAGTTGTCTCCTCTCCTGAACTTTTCACCCAACAACTAAACCGTAGCGCGCCAACAGAGGGAGGGAGTTAGGCGTGTCTGTTATTTGAATGTTTTCTGCGAGGTCCGCGCCCATTTAAATAGAGCGTACTAAAGCATGTATAAATCATGAAGCATGCCTCTCATGCAGCCCTCCCGATATCAACTTCATAATTTCACCAACTACCGGCCTCCCATTCAAAATTGTGTACGAATGCAGGAAGACCCTGCTCAAATTCTTGCCTTGCTCCAAATTCATCTTTTTACCTTCTCAATTTCCAAAAGCACTACCTTCACTAAATCTACCTTTACCAGAATGACGAGCGGGCACTGCCTGGAGACCTCCGTAGCCTTAAATTTAATTTAATTCATCCCCCTCCGTTAAATGTAGTGTCTATCGCTACTGAACACTTTACATTCTTTCTCTTTCTTCTAAAGCAAGGAATTATGTTCGCACAAAGATTGATTGTTGTATAGTCTTTCATTACATACACGTAGGCATTTAATCCAGTGTTTTTCGTATATCTGTTAAAAACACGTCACCAAAATAAGTAATGATACTCTGCCGTTTACATATTCGTAATCTTAAAGATATGTCTGTATAATACGACACCCTCGTATACATGGAGGGAAATCGTAATGATAATTTTATAATAATTATAATAGTTCCGTGGTGTTATGAATCATTACATTCAGCACCTAGCAAAAAGTAAAGTTCCTTGTGTGAAGAAATGTCATTACCAAACACACTTCGACGTGTAGCATCTGTTAATGAACTGACAGAAGTTGAAAATATCGTGTCTTGACAACAAAACGTACTAAATATATAAATGGCATGAACTTAGAACTTAGAAGCTTTCAGAGATTATCTTCCTGAACTTTGTGCCACCAATTACACTTACAGTACCATCATTCCATAAATTCTGACGAAAACAGGATACTGTATAACTCTTCTGTCGTTCTCACAAGGAATTAACAACGTTTCATAACTCCCATCACATTATGCATTCTTGCTACTTTATAGACAACAAGTAAGCCACTGAAGTCAATGGTAAAATGGCTACGCATTTAGAAGGAAGACGGAACTTGCATAACGGTGATGCCATGTATGTTCGTTTTCTACGAGTTCCACGTTAGGTAAAAAGCGGTTGGAAGAGACAGCTGACATGCCGACTTCAAACACAAAAAAATACTGATCAATACACAGAATCCACACTGAGTACAGTTATAAAATCTGATAATGTCGGCTAATAAATCATCCAGATACTGCAACACATGTATATTTAAGAGTCCTGAGAAACTTTAATTCAGATGTCCGTCTTCTACGATGTTGGGTCGTGTAGTCTGGTAGAAGTTTACCGACCTTCAAAACTCTCTCGACAGTTTTCAGGGTACAGACGAAGAAACAATGAGACATTTTTTTTAAAAAAAGTTTATACTCATAGTTCAAAAACCAATTTCTTAAATCAGGTCCATTAACGAATATAGCACGAGATATGCATTTCTACGAAATATTGATGACGGAATTTAAGACTGGTTAATGTCTCCATCCTCCATGATCCATTCTCAGATACCATAATTGTAAGAGAGGGAGGTGGGCCAAACTGGCCTAGAATTGTGTCCAATAGCGGTCTCTTTATTGCCGATGTCGAACCTTCAGTTTCTACTACAACTGTACCACTAAAACAGCAAATGCAGAAATCCACAGAATCTACAACACAAAGTATGAAACTAAGACTGCAACCCACTATGCTACGGTGCAGTCCAGACTTCGAGTCATCCAAATTATACCCGTTTACCATTTCGAAGAACGCAAATAATGTTCAACACTTTCGTGGTGATAAAGATATGAAATGAGCTGTGTAAAAATGGATTCGTTACGCTGACATCTGTTCTACTAACTTCGAATTTAAGACTTAGTCCACAGACGAAAAAATAAGGCTTAGATACCAAGTGGTAAAACACGACAAATCAGCACATGCACATCTGAATGTAGTCTTTAAGTCTTTAAGGGCTCGCAGTGTCGCCTGATGGTAACTGGAACGCGGTGAAAAATACGCATTTAAAAGTTTAGTTTCGAAGATAAATTTAGAATTGACAAAAATAATACCATTAACCACTTGAAGTCGAAGCAAATCTAAATAGTATTTAAAAACTCATTCCAAAAATTATTTTCTTACACAGCATTAACCAACTGATATTTGTAACAGGTGAGTTATGTTTTCTTTGAGGTCAGAATATAAATTTTGTGTGAAATTATGCGAGATTCAAGCTGAGAAGAACTAGGGGCGGACTAGAGGGAAAAGTTTGAGAACCTTCTAACAAAATTATGCCTCCCCCCCCTTCTGAAACAAAGTGCCTCTCACTTCTCTAATTTTTATCTTTACTTCCACTCATCTATTTTACCTAAGTCTCTCTTCTCTTCGGCTTTAGAGGGATTATTTCAAATTTCATGTGAGTTTCTGGAGATGCGTAACAATTCTAATCAATTGACTTATGCATGCGCTTGACAACCAGACAAGGCCAATTACTCACAATTAATATAATAATAATATAACAATACCAACAAATATCAATGTACTTTCCAATCGGGAAAGGGAAGCCTAAACGCAACGATAATCTACCGACACCAATACAAGACTTCGGATTAACAATTTCGAACTTCAATGAATGACACGAGTAGGAGTCAACATTTCAAACGCATAGTAGTTGAACGTACTGACTTCATTGCCAAATTAAAAATTATGTTATTAAAGAATTAATCGGATTCCCTGACAGTCTAAATTTAAAACAAAACCAATATTTTTGCAAGAAACATATAAAAGTGTTCCCAAATTAAAGAATTCAAATTCCTGAGGAATTAGACTACAATATATAAATATATATCAAAATAAACTGAAATAGGTGAATAAAGATAAACGTTAAACATATGAACCGATTAATCAGATGATGTCTTAGTGCACTTAATTCTGTTTATAAATACATCTAAATTATATATATTACCGTTATGAAAAAATAACCGTTACACAAAATTACATACAGATCCTGCTTAGTAATTCGACATGGTGTGTTTTGATATCCTGTATCATAACACATACGACGTTGTCCACAAGCTCTCCAGCTACAGTTGGCACAAACCGCCAAGTGACACACCACTGCACGCAGTACGACGAACATCAAACCAACAACCGTGTTAAATTCGAATACACCAGTGACCATTCAGATACAACATAACTGGAATCACAGTCGGATGTTACGACACATCACAAATCCAAAACTAGTGAACGTACGTACACTAGGCACAATTGCGAACCCCTTAGGCAAATGCGACATCTGAGTTCACGAGCCACAATAATATAAATTAACAAGACTGTAATTAAAATTTAAGTAAGGTTAAGCAGACCTATCAACGGTATTTTGTAGCTTTTGCGTTAATTCAGCTTTTAGAATATCATATTAAATGTTACAAAGCATACAGCACAGATAACTTTAAATTTAAATATTTTTTAAAAAAGTGTAAACATTATTTCTTCACCGCTTATATGTTGGTTTGTAGGGTGAAAGTGTGTTCACATTATACTTGTAATTTTTCACTATTTCCAGTGTCTATACGCATTGCCAACAATTTTATCGCCCTGTCAGTGCTTATTCAAACAATCTAGATTTATTACTTTATTACTTTTCTTTCAGATTTTCCGACAAAAATTTGGTATACATTTCTCAAATCCCCATGCCTGCTACATGTCCCATTCAACACATCCATCTTGATTTGATCATCGTAAAATCTGGTAAAGAGCATGAATTAAGTACCTCCCCATTACGTACTTTTCTCCATTCTCTCTCTCAGATTCCTGTGCTCTCCTCAGACACCCTTAATCTATATTGACACTGTAACTTAAAATATTTTAGAGAACCGTGCACGTACTCAAAGGGTCACACGCTACTGCACGCATGTGTCCGTCACTGCACACCCACGATATCTCACGACATTCGAATGCAACCGCGGTAAAAACCAAACGATACTAAACAGCCACACGTCCGGATCGGTACGTCGCCCTCAACAAGGTCTGCATGCCGTTTCAACCAACACAATCAACATTCGACAACATTCGGTTCTGTTCGGCTATGTTCGGGTCCGGTCTTCGACGAGAAACAAAAATTATGATTGGGGTATAGCACAGTTCCTGTTCTTGCCTCGTCCTTTCCTCACACTGTGTTTACCATAGTAAATAAGGATAGGGAGGTAATTTCCATGGGAAGGAATTCTGATGCAAGCAATGCGGGTTACAAGACTTACAAAACACGATTTCACATAAAAAGCACGATGAATACCCCACAATACACGCCACAGCCCAACACAGGTATTCACCAGATGCAAATAAATGCAATTCCCTAAGGCTTAGTGGCGTCACTGACTGGAAATGCTTCATATATGCTACATGCCCCACCCACTTCGCCTTCCTTGATCAGACAGACGGATGATGGAGGCTCCAAAACGTTGGTAACGCAAGCTGCACACGACTACAAGTCGTCACAACTCAAGAGACTACGGTCTGAGGGTATAAACGCTTTCCCTTCTGTCATCTGGAATGAGACCTCGTGCGAAGTTTTTACATACAGGAATATACAGGTATACGTACCTGACAGAACACAAAACAGAAATTATATCGCTTTCAGGTATGGGTATTCGAATGTTCATAACCGTGTTCCAGTATGCCTTGGCCTAAGCCAGATGAATCCACGCAACATCTGCACACAGAATTTCTGCAGCACATTCTATGGAGCAGAATCCTTGCTGTAAAGCAAATCCCCGCCTTTTAAAGAACCCAAAGGTTCATTGCCGTTTTCACAAAAGCCCGCCACTGGGCCCTATCCTGAACTATATGAACACAGTCGTGTCGGTAAGAATGCTTATTTAATATTCGTATAATACCCCAAACTCTTCTCATTCCTTTAAGACCCACTAAATTTTGTAATTCATAACTATCATGCCATTTATACCAGGATATTAATTATAATGAAACCATTCACAATCACCATGTAATTTCTTAATCGACGCTGCATAATAGCCTTAATGATAAGCCAACAATCCGAAATATAAGAAGTTCCAGATATGAAATTTCATCAGTCAGTTAATGACAGCATGACATTTCAGATTCCCAGGACAACGAAAATGGTGATGGCTGTCTTGTTGCCATGAAGCATGTAGAAACTGTTATGACATTTAGGCTTCACAGTTTTGCTTGTTCTTGAATGAAGACGCATCCTTCAGCGAAATGTTAGTTCCTTATGACAGTGAAAAGGGCCAAGACCGAGTCAGTGGTCTTGATTAAACTGTCCGTCTTGTAACACGATAACAGGACATGCGTTCTGGATGGAGTCACATAATGCAAACCCGGGTTATGTGAACTCTGTTTTACGTATCATCCGTATTATTTCTTTCTAATACACACACAAAAAAAGATTTTCTAAAAGACTGAAAACACTTCTGATGGCCATACAACA